GGCAAAGCTGAGTACCAGGTAGTAAAAGCCAATGGTAAACGGATCGATATAGATATGTCAAGTGCTATCGAAGAGGAAAATGACATACCTGCGATCTATAAACCCATTTATTACCGGCTTAATGTGAAGTATTATAAGATCGCTATCCCTGATCTTGAAGTGGGTGACATCATCGATTACAGTTTGAAATCAACCATCAACTGGGATATGCGCGAGGCGGGAATTGGATTTACTCCCTTTATCTTTTCATTGACGAACAATTATTCGACCATGTACCAGCAGTATCGTTTCGTCATGGCTAATGGGATGAAAGTAAAATTCCGTGCGTTTAATGGCGCCCCTAACCTTAAAATGGATACCAAGGCCTCTGTGTTTGGCGAAAAAGAATCTTATATCGCCTATTACATGCTTGATAAAGACAGGCCCAAAACGCCAGAGGAAAGATGGAGCCTGGAATTGCGCAATACACCGAGTGTAAAATTCCGCGTGATCATGCTGGCCGACAACGATCCTGAATCAAAAGACCTCGGTATGGCAACGGTCGACAGAACATTCATCGATATCGATGATGTTTATAAAAGATACGTAGGCGCTGCTCTTTACCGGACTACCACTGTCAATACTCTCGTTGCGTATACCACTGAATTCATAGCAAAAAAGAAAGAAGAGGGTAAATTAAAAAGTGATGATGATATCATCCGTGAATGTTATTACTGCCTGCGAAAGGTTTTTCTTGAAATGTATTATAAAGGTCCCGTCCATTCGGAACTGGAGAAATACATGACGGGGAAGAAGCTTTATAAAAAAGTATTGAAGCAACAGGAGAAAGATGAACAAAAGAAAGAAGAAAGAGAAGATGAGATACGGATCAATGCTGTCGTCTTCGCCACATCACTTAGAATGGCACTTGCGGCGCAAAACATACAGTCGGAACTTTTCGTTTACATGCCTCGCAAGCTCGGAGCCTGGAGAGATGCTGTATTCCTGGATGAGCTGGATTTTGTAATGAAAGTAAAAAGCAAACGACGTAACTACTTCCTGGAAGCCTTTAATAATTTCGATGCATTTGCATCACCTTATTCTTACCTCGAGGGTACTGAAGGGTATAGCATCGGGTATGCAGAACCCAACCAGTACTATAAAACGCCGGGACCATCCACTACTTACCAGGAAAACGTGGCCCGTAAAGACTACGAGGTGAAATTTGCTGATGGAATGGACATTATCAACGTTCAACGTACTTCTATCCTGACAGGTCATGAAAAGAATTACCTCGTCGGTATCGCAAATCTTGACCGCGATTATCTTAAGAAAGACTTCGAAAAATATTACAATGCCGCTACTCCAAAAGGAAAAAAATCCAAGAAGGAAGATG